CACTGGGGACATGAATGGTTAAATGTGAATAGGTATGGTTTCCAAAATGGCAACTTTAAATAAAAGTTAGGTATATCTCATAATCTGTCACATGTAATTATAATCTTAAGCTTAATACAACTTGGATATAGATGCAAATAGACATTTCCTTGCATGAAATGTAAAGTGATTACTAACAAAAGAGAATGAGATTATGTTAAATATCATTTAAGCCCTGTAAAAAGATAAAATCAGAAATTATTCAATTTTCTTTTTTTTCATTGCAAGCTGGAGGTAAAATTTATGTAATATTATATAGCATTAACTTAAAGATTATAATTCCCACAGGAGGGGAGGGGGTGGTAAATAAATAGACTTGGTGGGGAATAGGGGCAAAAGTCTTGTGGTGTATGTCTTAAGACTGGAGTGTCAAATTTCCAGAGGGACATAAAGTTCAAGGGGTGCAAAATTTATGACCATGTACTGTCATTATGGCAAAGAGCTCTTGAAATGTTGAAAATAAGAAAGATATGGACACTTAAGGGACTTATAAAAACTTAGAATCTCTTAAAGACCCATTAAGCCTCAGAAATGCTATCATTTTATATTTTTCATAAACTTTTCATTTTTCATGGTGTCCTGTTATATAATATAGTTTCAAAAAAGTTACTCATTGGCCAAATAGCTGAGACATCTTTTGTTTCTTTTGCATTTTATCTGAATGGGCACAGTTATATAGTTATTTAGTTTTTGTATATTCAAAAAACTGCTTTGTTTACATTTTGCTACCTTTATGACAACTTATTTATCATCCAGTACTTATTTAAGTGATAAGCATCTTATATGTTCTAAGACCATTATTACAACATTTTAAAATCATATATTTTATCCTTTCTGCAGAGCAAAAAGTTTATTAATATCTGAGGCATAATATGCCTTTAAAAACCCTGCTGCTATATTTAGAGCATTTTTGTTGAACCTGACATTATTTTAAGGTTTTAAGATACGCCATTTTAATAATAAACATATTACAAAAATGATAACGGGTTACAATTTGATTGGATGATATTTTGACATTGCACTTCTTGTTGCTTACTTAGGGATTGTGCTGTCACCATTTGAAATTGTGTTTAAATTTTTAATTTAGTTTTTTATTGTGTGAAATTATATTTGAAAATTAAAATTCTTATCAGTAAATGCGAAGTTTTTTTGGGGGGTAATTTTTTTTTTTATTATTATTTTTTTTTGTTAATGATATAAAATCCAAGCTATTGAGTGCATATTTTATTAACTGATAATTTATTTTATTACCCAGCCACCTTGGCCAAGTGCCTAATGTTGCTGACCTTAAACTTCTCACCTGTGCCATGGGTCAGAATTTCCATCAGGTATGGAAGTTGTCCAGTTACCTTATAGAAGGTTTGTGGTTCTACTCAGTTCCCGCAAGTGTCTAAAATAATGCTTTGAGGGACTCTAAGGTCCTTTTATTATTTTCAAAAAATATTCAAAATTTGCAGTTTTAAGTCAAGTCTAATTTACCTGATTTCATATCGTTCAAATAGTTAGTAGCTATGCCAGACTGGTTCTTAAAAGCCCCTGTATTGACAACCATAAAGAAAAATTTAAATTTTTAAATGCGAATACAATCATCTAATTCTTTTGTTTTCCCCACATTTACAGAATTGGGTCTGTCTAGAAAAAATCTTTTTTATGTGTTTTATATGAATGATGAAAAAAAATTTTTACCCGTTTAAAACCTGCAGGAAATAAAAATTTCTACTTCCTTTAATAAAATTTGGAAAAGAAAAATAAATTTCATTCCCTTTGGAAATATTTTGCAATTGGATTATGCTGGAAATATTTAAAAAAACCCCTAAATTTTTTTTTTAATGAAACTTTGGGGGGGTAATTTTTCGTTTGGGAAAACTTTGGTAATTTTACCCAATTTGGGTAAATTAATTTTCTAATTGGGTAAATTATCTTAGGTGTGGTGAAGTATTTATCTCAACTATTGGTGAATTATTTATCTCAAGTGTTGCAAGTGACAGAAATGTCAAGTGAGGTAAATAATTTATCTCAGGTGTGTTTAAGCATTATAATCTCAAATTTTGGTAAATTATCTAACTCAAATGTGGTAAATTGAAAGGGGTAAGTTATTAGTGCATATACCTGAAGTAGGCTAAATTATTTATCTGAAGTGCCGGGTAGGTCATTTATCTCTAGTCTAGTTTAATTAAATCAATTAAATTAAATTATTTCAAGAATGGTAAATTATTTATCTTACCGGTATGTGTGGATAATGTTTTGTCATAGCCATCAGTTTATTGAACTGAACACGTTGTCATTTTACAGATTTAAAAGTTCAGTAAATAATGACCATATTTTTTGTACCAAGGATTAGTAAGAAAGTCTTACACAAATAAATTTAGCAGGGATAAAGGCAAAATGTAAGTTACAATTAAAGCTTTAGAGAGGAATACAAGATAAACAGTTTTTATTAGTAAAATTTAGTTCTCAAATTTTATTTTAATAGGAATCTTGAGATGATAACATTAAGGGTATCTGCGGTCTTGCTTCACTAGTAAAGCTGGAATGTCACCATATGACCTGTACTGTGTTGGTGTGACATAAAACCCAATCAAACAAATCAAACAATAACTTGTGTGCACATTTTTCAGATTATTCTCTCACCCCATTGTTCCAGAATAATTATTTTTGTTGTGCAAAATGACGCAAACATGAAAAGTGTTGCAATGCTTTTCACTCAAAACGGGCTAAGAATCGCACACAAAATCAGTATTCAATTTAATTCTGAGTAAATTTCTTTATGCATCACTTGATCAATGTAAGTTTTTATGTTTTTAGGCTTTCAATTTGACCTCAGAGCTCCTTTAAATACTTGATATTTTAAATGTATTAATTTTATTAACTTTTGAAAAAAATTGAAATTGACCAATCAGAATCAATGAAAAGTTTTGTCACTTATTTTAAGATCTCAATAAAAAAAAACGCCAAAGACAGACAAGTTTTCTTTCAAAATACTTAATATCATCTAACAAAAAATGCGTTAATGTTTTATTATGGCCTTAGAGCATAAATGGTAATCAATTATTTGTAATAAAAATCATTCAAGAAGTCGTATATTTTTCTATTTACATTTTGTTAAGCTTAATTAACTTTCTACAAAAGGCAATCTCTTCGTTTTAGAATGATCACAGTCTAAATAAACTGGCTTACACCTCTTTAAAAAACGATTTTTGAATGAGAATTTATTGGGTAAAATTGATTTTTAAATTTGTAAGCGAATATTGTAAAGGAGGATTGACAAAAATCTATTCTAAATATTTATAGGTCTCTTTATTTCAAAAGCAGTATCAATAAATTTTCTTTACATATTTTCGATAAATTTTAAAGGTAATTTACTGTATTTAACCTGTAGAGAACGTCCTTTCGAAAAATGTCTTTATTCTGTTTAACTCCCAAATTAAAATGTATTAGATTTTAAAAACCCATATAGACTAGCATAATATAGATATTCATAAAAAAAAATTCAGATAATATAGAAAATTACACATTAATAATTAATTTTATGACAACTTGCTCTGAAAGTTAAACTTGCTCTTAAATATCATGATATTTAAATTATAGACAATAATTACAATACTATACGGCTATTATGTTTATATCTTACGGTTTACCAACCCGCTAACACAGTTTTTGGGGAAAATGAAAAAAAAAAGGGGGAAAAAATTCTGCACATCAATACACTTCATTCCTTTTTCGCAGTGAAATACGATAAGTAATGAAAATGGAGCGACAAATGTGACAATGCTATATATATCAGAATGTAGAGCCAGTTTGGCCACTCTGAGTGCACTCTGCTGTTTAACCAAATGCCAAACTAATGGTTGCTTTTACATATATATTTAATTTTAATGGAATAGTACCCCACATAGTTGTAATCAGTTCGTACACTGGAGAGTACATCTGTAGTTCGTGGATTGTCATCATGGTGCTAAGCTTATTCAGACATTGAACCACGATCACATTCAGTAATATACTGTGAATTCACTTAATTTCATGGATATGAAATTTGGTGGTTTTGTCACAAAGAACATTTTCGTGGGTACCTTAATTCTTGGACTATATATTTTTTTCCAAAACGTTAAAATGTAAATAATGTGATGCAAAATAATCTTACAGCAGAGGAAATGAAATTTCATTGGATCTTAAATTTGTGGATTGACCTATCTGCAAAATCCACGAAAATTAGTGCACCACGAATAATAATGATTTTGCAGTACTGAGCACATATATATATAATTAAAGAGATTGAGCTCACTTTGACCATTTAAAAATTATGCACAATGAGGGCAATTTAAATTTATCTACAGTATACAGTCATAGACAGGTATCAGACTTCGAGCCTTAATACGTCACTGGATGAGAAATTATGTACATTGCCAGGCTGGGGTGTTGAACCTGAAACCTGCAGATTGCCTACTGGAGGCCAGGCCGTTGATGTGCCATGCATAAAGTTTCTTGCTGTGATAAGTTCCAAATTTTGACTGTGTAAAAGACAGATTCAGTAGCTATTTATAGCTCAATATAAATTATAGCTTGTTCATACCATTTGTTTACTGTCCTGATTTATTTTTGTAACTGTTGTAAGTTTGTTAAAATATTATACTGTTTGTTGACCAGAAATGATACAGCAAAACAAACAAAGTTAAACAATGAAAACTGTAGAAAAGCAGGTGCAATCAGAGGTTAGTTTCAATCAGTGGAGGGCATGTTTTATGATTTATTTGGTATGGTTAAAAAGGAACATTTTATGGCATTGATCAAGAGAATTATAACTATAAGTGCATTATGACTGCATAAGTAGAGGTTCAAGATCGTAAAGAAAAGTTGATACCCGTGTTTGCTTTGCATTGAATTATTGACACTTGAAATTTACTGTTTTATTTACACAATTTTAGTAAGTAAATGACCCGTAAAAAAATCAGTTATATTTCGCCATTTGTAACTAAGCACATTCATTTCCATTGGTCAAGTTAGAACGAAGTACGTTATTATAAAAACCGGAGGAAAAGTGTCTTGTTTGCAGTTTAAAGGTTTTCCGTTTAATGGTTTTTATCTGAATGCAGAGAAATCGTAAAAAATTGATTTTTCTTGATTAGTTACTAGTGAATAATTTTTCACGGCAAAATGAAGGCATAAAATTGGATTCATATAAAGTTTTATTGTACGGCTCTCATACATTAGGATTGGACAAGTTATTTCATGTACCTGTAAGGGTTAACGAAGTGAAAATATCATATTTCACGTGAAAGTATTATATTTAACATGTTTAACGTTGACTTTTTGTCTTAAATCTAGGTGATTTTTGCTGGATATTTTTTCATTTCAAAATAACTTCAGCAAGAGAATAATGATTAAGTATTGAAAAAAATTTTTTTTTTTTAAATTTCATACTTACTATAATAGGAGGTCAAAGATATTTATTTTAGCAGTTCAAATGATTAAAATATAAATTAGACTATTTTGGTAAATATCTTTCTGGAAAAAATTAAGAATTTTTTTTATCAGAGTTTTTTATCATAATGAAAGAAATTCATGTTTTCTTTTATCAATTTTAAAATATTAAAGACATTTTAACTTTTTCAAGCTTGTTTCATATTATTTTTATTGATGGCATTCGATCATGTGAGGAAAATTGATCACGAAAGTTTGATTATTTTGCAGTGTTTATCTTTATTGACGTGATCATGATGAACGTTTCTAACTCATCAATATATTGAAAATTATTGACGGGTGACGGTTTTATTCCGAAAGAACATCCGCTCGCCAATATTGTCAGAAAAATATATCTATAGTGGAAGTTAATGAAAACTATTGAGAACCTATCAGGAACGTACAAACAAGTTTTTTGTTTAGATGGACGTAGTTGAGAAAGTGTAATAAATCATCGAAGCAATTGGAAGCAGAGATATTATGATTTATTCATGAATTTATCAATTTAAAATGAATTTCGTATGTTATATATTGCATATTATATAATGGAAATAGATTGATTTTATGCTTATTGAATATTTTTCTATTGAAAACATTCAAACTGTTTGTAAAGGAATTAAACAAGAGGTCTCTGTTAACCTGTTATGTTAACATTCGAAAGGGAGGTCCAAGGAATAAAATTGATTAAAATATCGCAGTGGTGATATCTAGTCATATACAGATAGTCAATTTGTTTTTGTTTAAAAAAAAATCGGCAGACATTCATTAAAATCATGTCAGATCAACAGCAGAAAATTATGTCAGATCATAAACAGCAGAAAATTATGTCAGATCATAAACAGCAGAAAATTGAGGATGAAAAGGGGACCAATCCAAGTAAGTTTTTTTGGAAGATTAATTAGTAAGTTATTAATTGAATTTTGGGCCATTTTGATAAATTTTAATTATGACGTGTGTGGGGCTATTTGTGTGTGTATTTTTTTATTATTTTTTTGATAACCATAATTATTCACTTGTGAGAACTCTTATTTATACCAAATTGATCTGCAGTTTAATTAAGCTTGGTGCTTGAAAAAAACTGAATACTCAGTAAACTGTTGTTCGTAGACCGTAATAACATGTGGAAAAAATTAACTTTCTTGGGTTTCGATCGGGAATTTTTTTTTTTTTTAAAAGGAATAATTTATTTCGTGTTAATTTCCGGGAAGGAAAGTTGGAACACGCGTATATTGAATTTAAATACTTTTTGGTAAAAAAGGCTAAAATTTAAACCAAACCAAACATATTTTTAAAAAAGTGTTGTCTTTTCTTTAACTATATAAGTATTATTGTTAATTAAATGTTTCTAAACAAACAATTTGAGACAAGTGATAATACTTTACATTATGATACTAGATATGAGTTGCTTAACGGTTTCTGTTCAGAATTGAACTCTTAGCCAGCTGACTGTGACTGAATCTTGCCATGCAAACCACAAGATCAGCAGGCACATCTGTGCTGTCTTATCATGGTCTGAACTGTTGGCTTTTCAGTTAGAATATATTTTTGAATTTCCCTATAAATTTAATGAGGAATGGTTTTGTCCAGATAGAAAGGTTGACAAGTCCATTGAAGATATTTAGGTTGGTATTTAGGGGTTAAGCCTAGTCAGAATACATGTTAGTCGGATTATAGGTGATTTTTATGTTTAACTTCATGGTAGTTATTTTGACAAAGTTCTTTTCATCAGGGGCATGTTCAAAAAAGGTTCTAACTTCACTTTGAATACAACAGTTAATGGTACCATGCCTGATCCCCTCTGCTGAGTCATAGTTGAATGATTTGAATCTCTTGCCCATCACTATTGAAGGTTCATATCTTGCCCCCAGTTGCATATTCTTTCATGTATCCAGCTAACATACGGAAAATTGTTGACATTAGGACTCGGCTGTTCTTTTGTGTTTAAAATAATGCCTGGGTTACCCAGGACTTACTCTAGTTCTTCCTCAACTAAAGTTTTAATTTCGCCATATTACTTTCACATTGTCCATCTGACTTTTAAACTATTTCTAAAGAAAACAAAATCGAAAAACTTTTTAAAAAAATATGTATTGTTCTCCTAACTTTATTGAAAGGGCCGGTTCTCATTTAAATTTTTAACCAGTAACTTTGTAAATTGAATAAGCTATACACAAATTAGAAACTGGCCCAGACAATTGTCACATCATGATGTGAAGAGAGAACAATACTCGTTAAGCCATATTTCATTAATATTTCATCAAAATTGAAAGCAAATATAATTTTCTTTTAAGTGTTAACATAAGTGTTTAACATCTAGATAAGTACAGTGTAGTAATGTTAACTTTCTTTTCAGAACAATATTTGTAAATTTCCGACTTCTATAAGTTCTATTAGACACATATTGTAAAATAACTATTTACATTTTCGGCATTTTTCTTTGGTTTCGGAAGCTCTACACTGTTTTCATATATTTGATGTAGGTATGCAAATATTTACATATGAAGACACTAACAGAAAACCCATTGATTATTTTTTTTGACATTTTGTTCATTCAAGTGTGATCATAAAAAAAGAAATATATATATATGTATATCTGTCAGTATTTTGATTGATATATTTTGGTACCGGTATTAATATTTCGTTGCAAACTTTTCATTAAACATATTTCATTTCAATTAGGAGATTTTTCAATTTTCCGTGTTCACTAACTGTATACTGTGTAAGGTATATGCTTTCTAATAAAACGGTTTTTGCTTTTGTTGAATACAAATAATTGAAATCTTTTGAAGAAGGACTGTTCTTCTTAGCCCCATTGATCACCATACAATGTAAACAGAAGAAAGAAACGGAACTTTTGTAGTAATACAATGACGGCAATGAAGGACTCGTTTGATATATCAGTATTATTGAGCGCGTTTTAATGTCTGAATTTTATTCTCATTTTTTGTGATAGTGTTAATGGCTATCTTAACGAAAAAAAGTTAATTAATTTTATCCAATTAAGATGGAATGTTAACTTTGTGATAAGAAAAAAAAAGAAATTATGATAATAATCGTGTTGAATATTTTGATTTGTAACCTTGACCCTGCTAAATTTATAAAATGGACTTGGCCAGATTTGAATTGGGATTGGTCCATCGTTACTTTAAAAGGGCTTCAATAGATAAAAGCTGCAATTGGTCAGATTGCTTTGATATGACAGAAATGATAGTAATCTCTGATAGTATTAAAACAGTAAGGGGAGGTTAATGGTTTTGCATCTTGGGGCCTTCTTGTGCTTTTAACCAGATTATTTCCCCTTGTTAATATTCAAATGGGTGAAAATTTTTAAGTTGTTATGTTATCGGTACTGTATGGATTTTGTATATATAACTGAACTTATTGGTTTATGCAAATTAAGGACTGTGCAACTTAAAAATGGCTTCCTACAATGAATAATTAAGTTGGTTCTATTATGTAATAGAGGCCTATAAAAAACATCTTTCCAATACAATTATGTTTTTTTTAAATCATGCAGTTTTTCCAAATATCGAAACTTGCACCAGCTTTTTTACTTTCAAACTTAGAATTAGAGTGATAATTATTACCAAAAATCACCAGGCTTAGGCCTTTTTCCAATTCAGTTGGGAAAACCACTAGGCCACGCTAGTGATTAAGGTGTCTGCCTCTCAACCCAGAGATCATGGGTTTGAACCCTACTCTGGTCACGACGATGTTTCTTCATATGACACCAGTACTGGTTGGTTCCAGGAAGTGGACTCAAATGATTAATATTAGTTTCAAGAACTTGTTTTGCAATCGAGCTTAAATAAATATGTTTAAACCAAATGTGTAAACTGTATTTTCAGGATTGTGTCGGCCACCTCCACCAATCGTTGGTAAAGTGACACACCATAGTATTGAGTTGTACTGGGATGAAGCGATCGAACAGGCAATGGCCGGGGCGGTGAAGGGGGAGGGCAGAGTAAGGGTGTGTCTACAGGAGCATGACAGAGACGGTGAATGGGGAAATCTTTACTCGTGCGTATTTATATATCTTTAAAAATCATTAGGAATTGGAGAAAAGATTATTTTACGTTCATTTAAAATTGTGTTACTTGCTTCTATGTCTTTTCATTAAGATTACGGTATGTTTGTTTCTGGCAGCCAGGCTCTTACTATTTGATTCATTTATCAGCCTGGAAGATTTGGTTTGGATTCCATTCTTTTACCCGGGCTATCACAATCTGCAGATGCTCAGCCCATTGCTAAGACCCTGTAGAATTATCCAAGTGACAAGCCTGATTTGTTTGTGAAAAAAAGCCGTCACTCACCTAAAGTTTCTGAAAGTGAAATGACTGAATTTCAGATACAAGAACTAAATTACCCTCAGGAATAGAGAAGAATCAGGAAGTAGAATTATTATAAAATAACCGTATAACACATTTTTCCTAATTTTACTTTCCTATTTCAAAGTTTTACAATTTTGGGCTGGTAAAATCTAATTGGAATAGTACATATTGCCAACTACAAGCCCATATGATTTGTGTTTTCTGTTCCATAATAACAGACTGTAGTATATTCCTGTCAAGGCTTTTAAACTAGGGCTGGGAACCTACATCTTTCACCTAAATATCATAAGTGGACTTTTCCAACAAAACCATTCATTTTTGTATACATTGCTTGCAATGTATACAGAGTTATAAGCTATATCTCAGAAAGCAGGTTTAATGCATTACCGAACAACCATCCACTCCCCGGATAAAAAACCGCTATAGAAACTATTTCTTCATTCTGCAGTAGCGTTACATTCCGACTACACATCATTAAAAAAATAGTGTTTTTGCAAAGTTGTTTAAATGCTTTGAAATTTCCAAATCGTTCATTTTTTCATGAAATAATAGACTTTACATTCCTTTAAAGAAAACAAAAAAATAACAGTTCATTGATAAAATCGTAGTTTATACCTAACGCGTTAAACTTCGCATATACGCATGCGCTTGCTAGCATGAATGAATACATCGTAAATATAGTAAAGTCGTCAGCGCTTATGCTAAAACAATACAAAATAAGCTTTTTTTAAAACCGCTAGTTTGTTGTGATTAAATGTCCGATTTTAAAATGTATTACACCAATAGAAAGCTTTGAATCTTAGCTTCATCACAATATAAACTTCAATACATCTTTTGACTCCAAAGTATTTAAATCAACTGTTAATTCTACCATATGTCAGACCATTTTACATGCGATTTATACAGTGAGATACGCAATGATAAGAATAGCCTGTCGTCTGCTAGTTCTAAAAGTGTATATCGGTGTATTATATAAATGGGACGAAACATCTCAGATAGATATTAAATCAAATAAAAATCCTGATTTACATTTATGGCAATAAAATTGCCCTAAAATGTTTTACAAAATGAGTATGGAGCACCGTCACAAAATTTACCAGCGTATACCGGAATTTTTTTTTTTTTTTTTTTAAAAAACTGGCAATTATCGTGACTTCGAAAACTAGAAATTTCGTAAGCTATTCTTTTGAATACCTTTTTTACACATGATTTTCCTTTCACTTTGTATGCCTTAGATTTTTGAAAAAGAAATATGTTTTGCGAAAATTCAGCGAAGATTTGCCTGATTCAGTACGGGGTAAAAAATAAAGATTCGGCCGCTCGACCGTTCGACACATTACAATTCGTCGAACTTGGATATTGACGTATGGAGCTAAAAATAGGCATATGTGGCAAGATTCGACGGAGAAGAAATAATCATTTGAAACTGTAAATCAGTGTAAAGCATTAAGAAAATAAATACATTATGTTTTATTTTTATCTGCTTATATTAATTGCCGAAAAACACCAAAAAAATACCGAAAAACACTTAAAATACAAAGAAATATTAATTCAGCAATATAAACCATTTTTGATGGTTATTTGATGAAATTGGTTTTTGTCGGTTAATTTGATGAAATGGGTTCAATAATATCAGTTTTAAATCGATGATATATACAATTGGTATAATTCCAACAAAATAAGTTTTTATCTACTTTTTTTCTACCCTTTAAATGATTAAAATTTACTTTTTTTTTTGCAAACCAGTGTAAATTAGAGAATGATTCTATTCTGTATTAAATGCGATATGAAAGTGTTTTTCCGGCAAAGTTACAGTCTAGCGTCAAAAAAAACCTGGAAAGCCGGAAAAAACATTTTTACGGGCATTAAAATAGTCGTAGTTAAAAACAAAAGCCGCTATTTTTTTCCAACTTTTTTACATGAATAACTATTACTTTCTTTTGTTACCAATGTAAAAATGTCAGTGATGTTATTTTTATAAATACAGCATGAAAGTGTTTTTCGGCTACTACGTATCGGTCTAGCGTCAAAAAATGGAAAAGCCCAAAATAAAAAAAAAAAAACACATTTTACTTGCGATGAAATGACATTTCAAAAATAGAACTATTAAGTAAAATTTTTACCGTTCTAAATGATTTGATTATAACATTATAATTTTGTGTGTAAGAAATGATAAAATATCAGTAAATTTTTGTAATTAAACATTGTATGAAATTGTTTATCGGCTATGATACCGCCTAGCGTCAAAAACATAGAAAAAATAAATAAACAAACAACACATTTTACTTGCAATAAAATACTAGATTTATTTTTAAAAAAAAATGCTGCTAAATACATTTTCAATCGTTTAAATGAATAACTATGACATAGAATTATTTACCTTTGTAAAATGTCAGTTATTTTTTTGTAATAAGTACAGTATGAAAAAGTCAGTGGTGAAACTTATAGGTTGGCTAGTTCAGGGTGAGGTTAGCCTGGGTTCCAGTCTGTCGATTTTTTGTTATGTTTCTGTTTGGCAAAATCGACACTATGCAAAAACGACGAACGAATACGGAATATTAAGCGCATATGTTATGAAACAAAAAAAATGTATGAATAAGCAAAAGCTATCAACGCCTGAATCCCCAGGCTAGGTGAGGTTTTAGATTGTTGAATGTCGGCCATCCATCTTAATGTCAACTCTGGTCTGTCCACATTAGCATCGTCGGATACCACGGCCGAACCATTTACATTTATCAGTTAGGTATCAACCAATTGTATCCGATGCTAACATTACAGTTGTTAACAATTCTGCTGGTCATTTAGTTTTTAACACTCTACTGGTCACCCTTTGTCCCAGTTGTCACACAACATCGTAAGAATGTGTGTGACAGGTTTTGCTCCAGTTTGAAACATGGATCACCTTGGTTGAAAATCAGAAGTATGTCACAGTAGCCAAAAAATAGAAAAAAAAATGTTTTAGCTCAATGGTTCATCTAAAGTTAAAGAAGTTGTAACACAACCTGATTATGGAAAAACCCTTGTTTACTTGCTGTCCAATATAAAATTGATTTCTTGGAAAGGTTGTTCATGAAGACTATATGTAACAATTATTGAATAATGAAAATATTACAGTACATTTTGAATTGTTGTGATTATAGATTTCATTTTTATTAATTAAACCCGATAAAGTAATGCATTTGAGAATTAATGTGTAGAGATTAATACAACACACCAGAATATATTTATTAATGCATCAAAGTACAGTACATAGATGTACTGTAATTTGGTAATTAAGTCTTGTAGGATGATTCAATTAATTGACTTTGTATAGAGTTCAAACCAGATCATGTATTTTATCAGATAGCATCACTGGAAACTATATATGACTGTTTCAATATTCTATACTGCAGTCCATTTAACGGGTGTTTCAAAAATGATTTTTTATTGCTCATCTATCAGCTTGTCCTAGCAATACACAGATGGAACATTACATCTTCCTTGACTCATAAATATCTTTTGAAGAAAAAAGCCTTGGTGCATGTGAATCACTTGTTAGGGACATTGATCTTGATCAGAAGATGATCCCTATTGTTTTCGAGGTCAGTAGGTTAAAGTCAACATGGCTTTGATGTCAAAAATGGATTATATTATCAAGCAATGTATACTTCAGTACTTTCAGTGCTTTGATTTTGTACTGGAATTTGGATAGGCAAATAATTTTGATCGGGTTTTTTTTTTTTTTTTTTTAATCACAGATAGATAATAATGTATGATAGTAAAATTTAACTAATCAACAGTTACTGCCCTTTGTTTAAATCCAAAATTCCTGGAATGAAATCAATTACAAATCTCGTATAACATATAGAATATCCACCCCTTGACCTCATAGTGTGAAAACTTTACGGATAAATACTAAATATCTTCAGACTTAAATAACGTTTTTTCTCCGTTTCATTTCAACTGTGAAATAATACTTTATATACGCTATTCTTCAGTTTGCGGACTGTTTTCACTTGACTTTGTAATGTGATATCTCATGTGGTTTACAATTGCTTGTCAATTAAGTGTTTAACAATTTAACCAATTAGTCCCAATTACTTGATAGCTAACTACATTTGTACTTCAGAATAGCGGAAAAATGCATTGTATGATTGTCAACTCATTATTATACATGTTTTTCATGTATATAAAATTTCAGTCACGTTCATTTTTTTCTCTTTCTTTTTTTTTTTTTTTTTTCTTGTTCCCCCTCCCCCCCCCCCCTATATTAATCCTTTTTTGCTGTTATGATTTGGCAATTATAAACAATCTATAACCCAGTTCTAGGTTATGATTACACCATGAATTTGAAATTTGAATTGAATTTTAGTGATGTGTCTGAAATTGTTTGGTATATTATAAGTTCAAATTAAAAACCCATAATTTCAATGAATCGACAATGACTTCAATTTGATTACATGAAATGCATTTTAACACTTAGAATTTTGTAGAGTTTATGAATGAGTCTTTTTTATTTTTGTCTGCCTAATTGGTAATTTTGAAAAGTTGCACAATTTGAGGTATATTGGAGAAAGAAAAAAAAAGAGTTGTGGAGACAGCTAAATTATGAATGTTTGCAGTCTTTGTAAACTTTTGTACACCATTCTGGGTTAAATAGGTAATTTGTTTGCCAGTTAAGAATTGGTCACTTAAAAGTCAAGCTGAAAT